CTCCAGGGTGCGTAAGTAATTTTTTCCATTTCCCTGATGTTCTTGCCTCCTCCTGAGCTTATTGTTAGTCCTAGAGTATGCCACCGTATATTGCAACAGCGTCAGAATTTCCCACCAAAAAAGGTGTGCTTGTTAGATATTTAAGAAGAAGTAGAAGTGCTATACAAGTAGGGCGGGCGCGCCGCATTCTTTGAACAGAAATGGGGAATTCGTGAGCCAGGGGGAGTGTAGCCAATCTAGGGGGTGGGGGTGAGGGCAGTCACTTGACATGCGTGAAAAGCTGGGCGTGCCCACCCACTTGTATAGAGCCGAACTATACTCCCTTTCAAAAAACGAGAAGAGCGTCGGGTGCAGACCATACACCACAAGTGACGACAAAATGTAAATGTTTTCTGCCAATGAAATGATTAGCCTGTTGCAGTTGTATTCTATCAGTTGTCACTAATTACAACTATCATTTACCAAAAATCAGCTATCACTATGAACACTACTAACCAGATTTACCAGGGGGGGGGTTTACGGACTACTTGATTTTTCCTCAATGGTCCTGCCGCGATGGCTAGAGCACAGACGGGAGAATGCCCTAGGACTAAGCCTTGGAGAGGAGAGGGACCCGCGAGAGAGCGCAGAGGCGGTTTAAAGGGCTGAGTTCAAGTAGTCCGTCGACCTACTTGGAGGCCGTCGTCACTTGTGGTGTATTGTCTGCACCCGACGCTCTTCTCGTTTTTTTGAAAGGGAGAGTATGTAAAAAATAAAGAAACTACTCCATGAACTGGAGAAAAATATGAAATCCTTGTCGTTTCATGGCCGGGGAGTGCTGCATAGCCCCGTATAGCTTATGACGTCATCGCGACATATTAGGCTGACTACCTCGGCAAAATCTGCTGCTTCGATTTATTGAATCAGTTGAATGGAGGGCAAAGCTGGTAGCTATACATATATTGAACGTAATATTGGGGAATTACCGTATCGAATATCGATTAGCACGGGTGTCAATCGAAAGAAGTGTAGGGTTTTATGCAGAGAAAACAAAGATCATTGAGCGATTTTCAGCGCAGATGTGGAATGTGTACGGATCAGCACAACAAACGTTTTGTGAACATTCTCAATGTGATTCGCGTCCAAGTGTTTTAGACGTTTTACATTCATCCACACATTCGATTCGACCGAAAATCGATCGTTTTTCTGGTGGCTCGGCTTGAGACATGAAAGGAGACCGTTGGCGAACGGCCGCGTCACACACACACACACACCAACACTGGACCGTCGCCCGATCGTTGAAATCGATGTTCAGCGAGTCACCCCCCCCCCACACAGGCGAATCGATCGCGGCTTACGTTTATTTGTCGTGTGGCGTGATGACGGCCATACGGTCCCGTTCCCCGTGGCTCTACCCGCACCCTCAACCGAGTTCTCTCTCAACTTTTGAAATTTCCCCACCGATTCGTCGACTGCCGCCCGTCAATGACCGCCCGGATTCTGCTCCGTTTTTCGGGGAAATTTCTAGAATTTCCCAATTTCCGGACGTCTTATTCAATCTTAGGCGATATTATGCATTCCAAAACCAACGAAAAATACCCGTAAAGCTTTCGAAACTCAAAAACAACGACCTCAGCGCCATGCTGGCCAGGTTTTGCATCAATGAGTTGAACGAGCGCATTCTAGGTTGCTAGCGCAACTTGCGTGACGCGATTGACCTCAATTCAGCAGAGTTTTGTTCAGTCTCAGGTCTGGATGTGGTTACGCTTACGAAAGGCACGACACACCTGTTCGTTCGCCTATTAATGGATACGGGGATTTCCAGTAGTCAGTGCTGATTCATTTTCACATTTGTGCTATCATATTCACTCGAAGCGATTCGCGTTCCATGTTGTTTTCGTACTTGGTCCTTCCTCTTCTTTATTTTCTCAACAGAACTAGGTTCCTTTCCTTTGAAGCTCAGAAACATCTGTTTTAGTCGTTGAATCGTTTTCGATCGTTAAAGCTGTTCGAAACAGCGACCACGGCAGTATGCTGGGTGAAAGACCGGAATCCGCCATGCGCCGTCAGATTCACAAATTGATTTCGCAAAAAAGCTTTGCTTCTGAGATGATCACGCAATAAAGAGTGTGATTGATAGGAATCGAAGCAGATTCGTCCTTGTGTTTTATTTCGTGAGATAGGATTGGACATGATTATCGATTATCTTTCGGATGAAGCTTGAGAGCGAAATTCTTGTTGATCTGTTATGTCGTAGATTTTTGATTCAGCTGTGGTTTGTTTGAAAAGCTAGAAACGTCAGCTTTCTTCAGAAACAAACACGGTCTACTCGGACGAAGTACGATTTCCGATGGCGGAAGACGAAAATGTCCCCGTTGCCTCTGTTGATGATGAGGTGGGTATGAATAGATTTAGTACTGTTTTTTTCACTCTTCTTTATTCCGTCTCAAAGGTGAGGTACTCACAGATAATTATTAATCAGTTAATTGTTGCTTCTGTGCCAAATAGGTTTCTGGATGGATAGAATATTTATTTGGCCTAACGTTTCGACAAATTCGTCGTTTTCAAAGGCCTGAAAGCGTTTCGAAACATTCAAATGCTATCCGTTATCCTCTGAACACGAATGCGCACTTTGCCATGGAGATTATTGTTCAATTTTGATTTGGAAAGGGCGAGATAGTCGGTGTCGATGCTTTGAGATTTATTTGCCCTTCTATCCCCGAAGCAAACACTTTTTGATTACTTCTTTTTTCTATCTTTTTGTATTCACCGACAACGTGGTATCGTTTCGGTTCTTAATAGTATCTCAAACTCACATAGCAAGCGTTGAGGAATATCTCCGAACATGTATATGGTATGCAGAATAAATGAATGGGGGTTTACGTTATGTTTAACTTATATATAGCTTGTCATTTCGTAAAATAACTTATGGAAATGTGCTTCTCAGTAATTTCTTTCAGCGCATTTTCTTTCCCGACATTCAGTATCCTCTGTTTGGCATCTCACTAACTTTTTTTTTCGGCGCGTTCTCCTTACGCATCCTAAAACGTTTAGAAAATCTTTTACTCAAATCGTCTATATTCGTCCAGCTGTTGTAAAATTAACGACTGAGTTGGATTACATCAATTCTTAGGAGGGGGGTGGGGTGGAGGAAGAACAGGTTTCGATAACTGGACATCACAAGGGATCTATAGATTCTTTTTGCATTCTTCGTTTCTTTCCTGTTAAAATATTTTAAAATGGTGTACTGCCATCAAGGAGGGGGGGGGGGAGTCATCGCTGTGTGGAGTGCTCAACGCTTTTCAGACAGCGACAAGCATTTTCCTTTACTGACCACCCTACAAATTTATCCAAGCCTTAGCGCGGAGAAACTATGGGAGTGCGTAAACAATTGAAAATCTCTTCGGTTTCCTACCCTCGCTAGGCTTTGTCGTAAAGAGATGGGAAATCACTTCACTAGGCTGACAACTGGTTTTTTGGGGTCTCATTCAGTAAGGGGATACACGTGTAGCAACAGTCCGTATCGGCTAAAGTAATCCAATTTTTGCAGGAGAAGGAAGCTTCGCTTTTGGGTTCAATAGCGGAAACGAATGGATCACGCACCCCTCCCGAGATTTTAGGTTTACTCACGCGAAAATTGCAATTTTTGTAGGCAGCGGCAAGTCGCGCCATGTGCCTTCTTATTTGGTGAGACAGTTCTTTGCACTGTTTATCACAAAAACTCGCACAGCATACCAAAAACTCACAAATTGTGTGGAGGGAAAGCCGCTTCAGTTCATAACTTTCAGTGGTTTCACGAGCAAATCTGGTCCAAAGCAGCGTTGCAACGCAATGCCTCCCCCTTCCCCTCTCCTTTTCTGGATAAGCGCCTCTAAATTCCATAGTAGATGCTTCCATAAATGTAAGTTTTAAAAACATGTTTGGTTACAATCATATCTCTGAAATTATACGACTTCTTGTTTTCTAACCTTCTTTATCGCGCAACTGGCTTGATCTTTGGTTGTCTATCAGGGCCGTCGATTAGATACGTCGTTTACGATGAGAGGTGAGCGCAATAGATAGATCAGCATTAGTACACGAATATTTCTGTACGATTGTACAGAATACGATTCGGACTGAAACAGAAGTTTTTAGGGGAAAGATACGTTTTTTGTTGGATAGATCTCTCGAGGAGATAGCAATTCGTTCGGCCTGTGAAAACATGCTGGGGAGGCTCAAAAATCCAGCACTTGAAATCAAAATCATATCTTATGTGTTCTACCTATAGAGGTTTTCTGTTTCATGGCATTTTAGATTATTCGGAAATGATTATTTGCCTTTCTGGAAGCGTTTGAATGTTCCTTACCACACTATTTGTGATACCTTTCACTCTCAAACACTGTATTGAAATACTATCACTTTTAGCAGATTAGGATGGACAATTCGTAGCCATCGGTAATTGAACGTCCCGAGGACCAGATTAGGGCGGAAGGCGTATAGTGGCAGTTGCTCCGCTTACTAGGGGCCGAGATCAATTCCTGAGTTGTACGCCATCCAGTAACCATGTATTGTATCCCTCCAGGGGCGGTTGGTTGGTACCAGGCTTGCGTGGTGGTATAGAAACTGCTGAATTTACATTGGCTGGCCCCGCAAACCATTTTATAGGCCTAATCGCATTCAGTATCTATGTCAATGCTGTTCTGATTGGACTGAAATGCGTGGCACATCCCAGAATGGTTTAGGACTAATCAACGCTGAATGCTCGATCCCTTCCATCATTTAGAGACTAGCTCGCAGTTTGAAGATCGATCGATGATTGTGATGTTTATTTCACACACAGCTACCGTGGATCGATAACCTTTTTTTATTTTATTTTACATTGTTTCATTTTAACGATTTACTAACAATGAGGAGAATGTGTCTGAGATTATCTCGCTTGTAATGTGATCCATTTAGCTTGCCGAACGTCTCGGTGTCCCCCTTCTGGATTCCCATGAAGCGGTCAACAACGAGAAAGGTGTGACTCGCGCTCGCCTTGGAAAGCGTTCCCAATCGAGCTCCCCTACGACGAACTCCGTAAGTCTTTTTTTCGTGACTCTAACTGTTATTGCTACTCACTGTCGATAATATTGAGTGTTTGAGATAATTGTGAACGTTTTTGTTTTGTTGCAGCGTTCCGCTACCTGTACTGTTACGGCCGCTTCCCCCTCTCCATTCTTTATGGGAAATTCGCCATGTGTCCCGAAAAGCAAGAGAGTGAAGGTAAAGGCCAACTACTCCCGCACCGCCGCTGCCATGAACAGCGGTCGTGTGATCCCGGAACTCTCGAGTTTCGTTCATCTGCTCCCTGATATGACCCGTGTTGATCCGAAAGGTCAAATGGAACTCTACCATATCCTGTACGAGAATAGTGTCAGGGTAAGTTTTTTTCAATAGTAAACTTTTGCTGCAAGTTTTGCACTTATGGATTGTACATCTATCTCATGGAAAACAACAATTTTAGCTCTACACATGCCTGCAAAACTATCTCTCCCTCTGTGTTTTTGGCACACCACCGCCAATCGAATCGCTCACGCAGGCTGAAATGGTTGGCCGCATCTCGGCTACTGACGTTGAGGTGACATCAATAGCTTTCAGAAAACAGCTCTTAGAAAGGAATCATCCACGCGTTTCCAGAGACCATTACATATCGAGAACTCCACCATGCGAGACCGTATGGAACAGGCGTTTGAGGCTTTATGTGATGAGATGCAAGTGCCCGAAATATCCGTGCTCCCTGAATTGGTAGGACGATCGCCCGAAGCAATTGACGAGTATCTTCGTGAACATGGTGGCCAAGTTTCCGTAGACATGCTCGTCAATGCACTGAACCTCTACGCGGCTGCAGGATTACGGTATGAAATTGACCAATCCCTCTAATATGATGAAAGAAAAAAGAAAAAATATTGCAGGAAGCCACCTACCCGTGCAGTTGAAGGCCTGATGGCTGCTGCGCAAGATGGGCCTTCTCAGACCGATATAGATCACCGTGGTGACTCTATGGTTGACGAGGACGCTCGGAATGGTGCAAATCTGGATGGTCTTATACTCCTCGCAAGTGCTGCTGGAGTAAGTTCACTTGTCGTTTTCAAACAATTATTCATTTTAACGTCTTCATGACTTTAACTAAATTGTTCCTGGCGTAGCAGACATTTTTGTTGCACTTGATGATTATCGCTGGTTCTCCATTCACCATTGAAAGCATCACTAACATGATTTTAGTGAGAATTGGGTTTCTGCTTTCAGCAATCAAGTCATGCTGGTGACTTTCCCTTGACGGCGATGGTCCAACTTTTTGCCCAGTTTATGACCTTAAGTTGACGCTTAGTATTCCCAATGAGTCTAACATGTTCGAGGAAGTGAAGAGAAGCTCCTGATGGTTGAGTAAATAGGATGGGAAAGATTGAGGATGAAGGGAAAGACTCATGTGAAGGGAGCATTCTTTCTGAATGCCAAGCCCTAACTTTACTGCGCGCGCTAACAATGTTTGATATGTCGCTCTATAAAAGGTCAGATGAATACATACAAAACAGTACAAAAGTACACAATGTGAACTTATGATTGAGAGTCTTCAAGTCGCGCTCCCGTAGTTTGTATTAAGGTCCATCTTTCTAAACGATTTTGCGATACATTTTTTGTCCCGTGCGAAGTTAGTGTTTCTTTCCAGTTGGCCGATTTACTGGCTATGCTGGTGCGCATCCGTGGTTCGACGAACTTCGCCACAGAACAGGACTGCACCCCCTTGATGGAGGCATGCGCGGCTGGCAATGTGCGTAGTGTCAAATGCCTTCTTGATCTTGGCGCCGACATGAATGCATATTCCATCACTCAGAACACCCCTTTAATCTACGCTGCCGCGGCCGGACAGGAGAAGGTACGCTTTTCAAGGATTGTTCAGTGAGTTTTTTTTAACCAGTGCCGCTTTGAGCAATTTCTTCCATCAGGTTGTACGCATGCTAATCGACAACAAGTGTAATTTGGACCTACGCAATGAGAATGGACATTGTGCACTGATGGAAGCTGCAAGCGCAGGTTAGTGTGAGAGAGCATAATCGCTGCGTTCTGACGATAGGCTCAGTCAGTACTCCCTTCGCATTTTCGTGGGCAAAAGGAGGTCATATTTAGACGCTACACGGCTCCTTCAATTTCATTTCAATTTTTGGCACTCAGCCTTCCTACAGTCTCTTAAATCTAGCTTTCTCCTAGTGATACTTTTTTTCTGTACATGCACCGAACAACCAAATTCTTATTCAATGTCATTAATTGATCATAGATTTGCAAACTTGTATTCTTCAGGCCACCTAAACATCGTGAAACTCCTCATTCAATCGGGAGCCAAAGCTGTGTTTGTGAATATGAACAGTGAATTCAAGGTAAATTAGTGATATATGTGATGCATTTCGAACTAATATCATGTTAGCATTTTTTGCATGTTTGATAAATGAGCATGATTTCAGGAGTCTCCGCTCACGCTGGCTGCTTATAAAGGCTATACAGACGTTATAGAATACCTTCTGTCATTGAATGATTACGACCGCTCTACGCGTGATGAAGAACTCCATACAGCTCTGATGGAAGCAGCTATGGATGGACATCTTGAGGTATAGTTTCTTGGTTTTCGCAAAAGGCCTTGACTTAGAAGTTGAACATCATTTCTATGCTCTTATTAAGGCAAATATTCGCAATTAGGAATACATATTCAGCCAATATGGCCACTGCATATGAATGCAGTTGAGGGATGTCACCCATACACGAATTGCACACGAATTAAACAAAACAACGTGCTTGAATCGTTCTTCTTCCAACGGTCCGAAATACCTGATGTTTGAAATCCTACCTAATACGTTGGGCTAATGGTAAATGGGGTTAAGAAATGGGCTGAAGCGGTTCTCTGTTTTCAAAGGCTACGGTCATACTCGTCCAATAGAGGTGGGGTGAGTGTCGTGGAAAAGATTTCCAGGAAAAAATGCTGGACCACTCTAGATCAGAGCTACGAAGTATGGGAAGTCACGCTACCAGCTCTGCACGTGCTAGCGGATTCTGTTAGCATTTGCAATCTGACCTTCGAAATAAATAAAATCTTTTCGCGCTTGTAAATCTGCCGTCTGAATTGAAAATATTTCAAGGTTGCACGTATTCTGATACAAGCTGGTGCTCCTGTAAACCTAACAAGCGAGTCTTATGAAAGCCCTTTAACGTTGTCATGTTGTGGAGGTCACGCTGAATTGGTGAGTTTTCTATCCAGCTTATTTTGAACCTATTCTCCTCTTTCTAACAGAAAAGTGAACTTGTTCAAGGCGAAGCTACTTATCGATGCCGGTGCGAATATCGAGGAAACCAATGATGAGAACTATACACCGTTGATGGAGGCAGCCAGGGAAGGGCACGTGGTAAGTTGTCAATATTACTGTGTCAATGATGTCATCATACGTGCAAGCCTATAATGGAGTAAGCTGTCAAAATTCGCCCTTATTTTCAAACTGTTAGGTGTGAGGTACACCACAAGAAGTCGTGCATATTCATTTCCGCATGCCTTATATAGTTTTTCCACCGATATATTGACAATTAACATTTCTATCATTCATAGTATTCGGATACGTATGCAAACGGTTTCGGAACACTAAAATGCCAAAAAATCAAATAAAACGGTTCCCTTTAGTGCATCTATAGCGACGCACGGGCAGGGTGGTTGAGTTTGTAGGAGGGGGAGGGGTCGTACCCATTTCAGTCGTTTGAAATCACATGTGAGTTTGAGGTGATTCC